TCTTGCTGCGGAGAGCTCTGGGCATCAGCCGGTGCGTTTGCTCTTGTGGGGTTTTATGAAAAGCCCAAGAGGATCAGGCTCTGAATGTCCAGTAGTGGCATCGGTCAGGCAGGGTCAGAAATGGGGACACGTCAACCCCAGGTTCATCCTCATCAACACAAACCCCACTGATGCCCCAAGCAAGGGGGATGTTTCATGCCTCACCTGCACGCTCGGCTTATCACTACGGACCCATGGGTGGGGGTCAACTGTAGGACCAAGTCGAAAAGTCCTGCACAGTCCATGGGAAGATTTTATTCTCCTATTAGTATGGATTTGTACGTGGCACAGACAACTGCGTTCAACTCGCTTTGCTTCCCAGAAAACCCATGCCAGTTGCTTCCCAGCAAGGTTTCTGCGTGCAGAGCCCACATCACTTGCCTTCAAATGAGGGAGACGATGTATTTCCAAAAAATTTCCTGTTCACATGACACACACTAATGATTCCTTCAGAGAAACTGTGCTCAGCGTGGCTGCAAAAATGCCAGATCCCCACTGACAAGGCAATGGGGATTACAAGCCTGGAAAAATGTTTCTCAATTCTGCGCTGAGATGAAGGTTAACAGAAGGAAAACAGAGAAGGTGGTAAGAAACCATACATGGATATTTTTTATGCTGGATCTCCAACCTGAGGTCACCAAAGACATCAGGAGTTCTGGTCCTTAATTGCACTGCCTGCCCCATTGAAGCTGCACTGGTAGGTCCCGATTTCAGCTTAATCCCAATTTATTATTTTCTTACACTGTAACAGGAGCAAGGGCCGTACTTCTTGCTATAAGGCAGCTGTTGGCAAGGCAAGTGGAGGATAGAGATTGTGACCTTGCCTTGTATCTAAATGGAAATAAAAGCGGGCAGAAAAGTTTTGTGCTGAATGGCCACTGGTCAGGGCAATGCAACCAAAAATGGCAGCAAGTGACCCCGCTCTCTGGGGCTGGCAGACACTTCTGGCTCCTGTCAGCCTGGGTTTTTATTTCATTTTATTTGGCCTCAAAACACTAATCAGAATGGCAGTGGGGTCTGGTGGAGCTATGTTAGCAGGCAGGGAGGTGCACACTGTGGGAACCACCAGCTCCCAGGCTGCTGCAGATGATGTTGGCTCTAGTATCAGTGTGGATGTACCCTAAAATTAGGCACTGAGCTCTGTTCCCTATTTGCCTGATTCCTCATGTCTGTAATTAGCTGCTAATGATGTAGGGATGCTTTTATCAGGGTCCTGAGAGCACTAATGGGCTTTAATAGCTCTGAAGAGCCTCACCTGGGGCCTCTACACACATCCATGGCCTAGGAACCCATTTTAACCCAGCATGGGGCTGTCAGTCCTGTCCTAGTGATGCTCCGGGATGCTGGTTTCCAGCTTTTAACCGTGTCACTATGAATTTACCTGGTGACCTGGGCTCTTGGATGAGTCTACTTGTGATCTCCAGCTCTGTCCTGCTCCTTGCTCAGGTACTGCATGCCCTGGATGTCTTTAGTCCCCTGTGGTGACCCCTTCAGTGGGAACAAATAATGTGCTTTCTTCCATGAAATAGGAATTTTCCCATTTTACTGAAACCTGTAGAGTGAAGGATAACCTACATCCATCACAGATGTTATTTTTGGTGACTAGCCTTCCCTGAAAGCCTAACTCTCTCTCTTATCCTCTGATTTTGGGTGGGGTCAGCATGAATCAACGCCAGGGATGGGTTTTCTCACCATCAAACAGTTTCCCTGTTACATATATTGAGCTGATGCTCTCAGACTAATTATCTTGTTCCTCTCTAATGTGTTATTGAGTACTCTGGTACAAAAAGGTGCTGGGAAAACTGTAAGGGTTACTTTCTCTGTTAGCAGGAGAGGGTGGTATTCCCCCCCACACCTTGGGTCATATTTAGATTGCCTTCAAAGCCATGGGCAAAACCCAACAAGCTTTGGGAACAAAGGCTGTTTGGGCCCTGGCCTAGGTGGGTTGTGGCAGAGGATGGAGATGGCTCCCACGGAGCAGGCAGTTGCTAGCTCAGACCTCCCAGACCCGCAGCCTGTCCTGGGAGCACAGGGCTCCCGAGGCAATTTCAGTCACGTCTTTCCCATCCAGCAAAGAGGTTGAAACCTATTGAAGGCCCTTCTTGTCTTGTGCAGTAAAGGTAACAGCTGGAATTTGGCAGGGCAAGGAGTGTGCTTGCAAAGGGAAAAACGTGCCTGAACTTACAAAAAGAATCAATTAAGGGGAAAACCTGTATTAATTTTTTTTTTAATGTACATTCAGCCTAATGCCCAGAGTCTGCTCTGGACATCCACCCTGGCAAATACCCTCCTCCAGGTTTCTTACAAGTTCATGGCACTTTCCCAGCAGCACATACCTGTAGTGATTATGGAGGGATTTCTGCCCTGAGTCCTGTTAGTGATAATCCTCTTCAATGGCTGATATATTTTGGCAGAGCCTCTGACAGCTCTGGCTCTGAACTGGATTGCTTTTTCCCAGATGCAATTATCTGATGGCCCCTTCTTCCCCACCGCCCCGGTGCTGCAGAGCCTCCCTGCCTGCCTGCTCAGCACCGCTCTGCCCTCCTGCTGGTTTTCCAGTAGCAGCCACCTGTCTCAGTCTTGATCAAATACCTCCAGGTTGCAGTAGTGGCTTTGTGTTTCTTTGCTTAGGACTTTATTTTTTTCTTCTAGAAAAAGGGCTTGAATTTTGTTTTTTTTAATTTTATTTAAGTTCCCAGTTGTAAAGAAACTGATGTCCTGTCCAGATCATCTGGCTTTTCAGCCCAGAAGTAGAGCAATTTTTGGTGTAATCATGGTTCTTGTGAGCACTCTGCTTGATCTCCAGTAGGCACCTGCAAGACAAGGTGGAAGTTATTTCAGAATGCACCACTTTCTGCTTCCCAATAATATCCATTCTGCCTTCTCATGGACCAGCACAACCCTTCCAGGCAGCTCTGCCTCAATTCTCCTCACTCCCCACAGGCAGCTGCTACCATCAAGCCCTCCCTTTTAGTGTTTGCCTTCCCAGTGCCCCTGTGGGAGATGCTGCAGATAGAGCAGTCACTGCACCGTTGGAGGCAGGGCGAGATGGTGGTGGTGCCCCCACGGCTTGTGCCACGTATCCCAGCGCCGCTGCTCGGAGGTCTGCTGCTGCAGGTTATCTCCCCAAGATCCACACCTCCCTGTTACCCCACTGCAGCTCCCATGATATCACGGGGCTGGTCCGAGCAAGGATCTCCCTTCCATGTGGTTGCCTTTAATTCTACCACCGCAGACATCAGCCTGAGGTACTGGACTGGATCGAGCAATCAATCTCTAATTGCCATATCCCTCAGTAAAAGAAAAAGCCCAAAAGGAAAGAGAAAGGGAATGAAAAATCCAAGAGCTTCCCTCTGCCTGATGCAGGTGGCTTGTGAGAAGCCTCAGATGGAAAATACCCCCCTTCAGCCCCGTGCTAGGTCCCTCTTGCAGAGGAACGAGCCAGGAATTTCATGCATGCAGAGCAACCACCAAACAGTCCCTACAAGTCTGCCGAGGACCACGGCTCACCAAGCGGCTGCTTGTTTACCTGCCACCCATTTCCATAGTGTGGGCGTGCAGCCACATTCCTGGGAGCCCCGGCTGCTCCCCACCTGCCCAACCTGTCCGTGCACAGGTAACAAATCTCAAAGCCACCATTTGGCAGCAGAGCTGCAGATGGGCGATGCGATTGCTGCAGGGAAACGCTGCCAAGGATGCTCAGCGCTGCGCTAGGCTTACTCAAGGAGCCAGCTCAGCAGCTGGGGTGTAAATCAGCGTGGTGATATTGCTGCAGGTGGATGGATGCGACTGGCTGAAGGTCTGAGCTGATGGCTGGGGACTGAGCTCTGGGGACACACAGCATGACAGAGCTGCCTTCCTCGCACAATGGGGCTGCCCCAGAGGATGACTCGGAGGAGGAGCTCAGCCTCGATGCTCCAAATCTCCTTTCGCAGAAGCTCTCCCTATCCACTAGCCCTGGAAATATCTCAGGGAAACCACCCTCCCCAGCTTACGTGTCCTATTAGGCAACACGGACGCGTCCCTCCCGAGCAGAGCCACATTTGGAGGTGGTTGTGCCAGCACAGCAGGGCCCTGTGCTCATCAGGCAGCTCTTGGCCAAGCAGGACATGATGTCTGGGTCTCAGATATGTAGGCAACAGCTTTTTACTGCTTTTTTATTGGTGCTGTGCTGATAGTGAGTGAACGCATCTCTTGCTTTCACAGCCCCTGCATGCTGCTGATGTCCGCAGTGATGCGGGGGAAGGCTGTCCCTGCTCAGCCTGGGCAGGGGAATCGGTGCCAGCGTTTTCCTGGGGGATGCTGAAAGAGCTGCACTTCAAAGGCTCAGGACATGTCCACGTTGCCTTCGGCTCCACCAGCCCACGGCTGGGGAGGAAGCTGCTTGTGTCAGCAGCTAGAGCTGGGAGGCAAGCCTGGCTGAGGCAGGGCTGATGGCCAGGATCAGCACCCAGTCACCCAGCCTTGCCCCACTGGTCCCCAATGCATCCCCAGCCACTCCAAAGTGCCCCCAAGATTTTCATCCTGCACTTGCAAGTAGCCAACTGTGTCAATTTAGACACATTCCTTTGCCTTTCATGAGCTGTTTGGGTTCAGGGCTATTGTGTGCCCTGGGCCATGCCACTCTAGCAGGATGCTGCTGCTGTCACATTTGATTTTTCTTTTTTCTTCTCAGAAAGAACCAAGTTATATAAAATGAAAAAAATCCCATCTTAATGGTAGATGAATTATTTAAATGGGTCTGTTTGCTAATGTGATTGACTTCAACCAACAGCACAGGTTGAACTGTAATTATGGGAAAACAATCAAATCTCTATCTGGGTTCACACCATACTGGTCTTGCCACTCTTTGTATTATAGCAGAACCTGTTGGGCAGCTTTAGTTAAGCTGAGCCTCCTTTCTGCTGCTGGGGCAAAGAAATGCAAACCAGTAGAGCCAGTTGGACTGCAAGGAAAAATTATGGCTTATTGTCTGTGCAAGTTCACCCACACTGCTCACTCCTGTCTCCTGTGTCCCAGATGACCGTCTCCTGATCACAACTTAACTGAGCCGGAGGAATCGAAGGAGAGACACAGAGATAGTCCCCCAATGTGAGTATTGTGCCTGCGCTGATTTTTATCTCTCCCCTGGCGTTCCGGGCAGCGTTACAGAGATGGGAAGGGAGCTGGTGTGAGCTGTGCATGGAGAATTGCCCAAAATCAGCGCCACAGTGTGCCGGGGAGAGCTGTCACTTGGTGCTGGCAGCCGGAGCCTGCTCCAGCTCCCATCTGATGGGCAGAGACTGTGGTGTCACGGGTTTGCTTTCTTTTCTGTCCCCTCTCAGAGTTCATGGAGAAACTTTGGATTTTTCCAGTAGCCAGGGAGTCGGTGCTTGTTGCAAAGTGGTGGTTCTGCCTCTGGGTGCATGTGGGGCTGGCAGGGAGGGAGCTGTGTGGTCACTGCCCAGCCAGGACCCTGGCAGTTCCCTCTCCTCTAACAAAAACTTCTCTGGCATTTTCTGCTTGAGCCTGAAAGGTAATGAGATACCACTGGAATCTGAAATGTAAAGAAAGGGCATTCAGCTCTAGCTCGGGTGGAGTGAAGTATCTCTGCGAGGGTCAGAGCTGTTTGTGGGTGTCAGGGTTTGTGTGAGTACTGGGGACTCCGGTCACATTTGTATTTAGCGAACAGGGACCAGAGGCAGCAGACATCGAAGGTTTCTCTGACCAAAGATCCGGGGTGTGCGACAGCCGTGCTGTGAGCAGAGCTGGGTCCCCGGCCGCGCTGGGATGTGCCGTGGCAGCGCGTGGGCTGGCAGCGCTGCTCACCCGGGTGTTAGTGGCCAGCACTGGGGGGGCATCACCTCCTTCCACACCTGATCCACCTCCCATGCAGTATCTCAGGCAGTGCTGACCTGCACCTAACCACACGTATGCTTGGCAGTAAATAACTCCCAATGGGGTCATGGGGCTCCCTTCCCAACCCCAGTTTCCCACCCTAAATTGACCACATCTCTGTTGGTAGAGCTAAGAAGAAATTTTTTTCCCTCCACGTGACCCCCACCAGCTGGGTGAAGTGGCCTTCTGTCCCCCCAACCCCCCTCCCCCCCTTCAGACCCTCTGTCCCCATTGGATTCCTCATGGGACATCCTGCCCAGGGAGGGCAGATACACTCCTGCAGGCAATGCAAATATTCAGCAATTCTGGAGCTTGCTGGGGCTTCCAGCAGCCCCAGGCACAAGGTGTGATGCTACTGGGGGGGTTGTCATTCCTCTTCCCTACTTTAAATCCAGGTCAAAGGACGTGATGGTGGGATTGCTGCAAGGCAGAAGCTGTGTCCATACACACTGCCTCCTTCACAGGGATTTTGTTGCTGTGGGTTGGATTGTCCCCATTGCCTGCTCCTTGTCCCTTCTGCTGGGACAGCCCCACGATGGGGAATGACCTGAAAGCACTTACAGGAGAGACGACCATAAATCCTCTCAGAGCTTCAGTGGAGGACGCTGATGTTTGGTATTGATTCAAAACCCAGCCCAGGCAGCAAAGTGTCCTCAACACTAATGCATCTGGGACAAGCCTCAGCCCATAAAAATGCCTGGCTGTGGCTGTCCTGCTTGTTGGGCAGCGCAGTGTGAGGCTGAGCTGGTAAGAGAGTCCATAATGCTGCAGCAGGGCAAAAGCCCAGGTGGAGCAAAGCTGCTCCAGAGGGGATCGAGTCACTACTTGATCTGGATCAGATGCAGGATGAAGCTGGCAGGGCTCTGCCCAGCAAGGTGGGGAAGCATGGTTCTGTGCAAGCCTGCTGAAGAAGAAGATATTTCCCAAATACAGCATCCTCTGCTGAGTTTTTGCCCTCAGTCTGCTCGGAAGTGGTGAGACGGTGTATGTGTCCTGGCTAGCCTGCAGATCCGCCGTGTGTTTGGGGCTGTGCTCAGGAGAGGACTAGCTCTGCTCAGCAGGCGTACCTGCAGCTGGCTGGACTGAGGTATGACTGTGAGGAAGGAAAAGCCCCACTGGGTGGGTTTTTCTTCCAGATTAGAGGTGTTGGGCATTTTCTCTCTCCAGAAGTGGGAAGGTAAGCCGGACCTCCTGACTGTTTCAACATGAGCTGCAGGAATTCCCAAAGGTTGGAGATTTGGTGGAATGGGTTCTTGGCATCTTTTGTCAAAGCTTCTCCAGGGCTTTTAGAGGCAAGTCATTTGTTCCAACTGCCCAACACCATGAACACATTCCCATATCTCCTCAGCAATGGGAACCTGGCTCCCAAACCTTGCCAGGGGCAGATGCCAAGGCCAGGAAGAGAAAGCATCCACCCTTCCTGTCCAGCTTGTGCTTGGGAGGCCCCAGCTGCATGACACCTGAAACCCTGTGATTGCTCAAATTGCCCAAAAGGAGCCTTGAAAGCAGAGAAGCAACACCTGGAGGTGTGCTCCACCACTGCCTTAGAGTAGCCTCATGGGATGTACGGGGAAACCCAAAGCACAAGGTCTTGCCCAAGACCGGAGCAGCAAGCATGGCTCATGGGGGACCTGTTCCCTGTGAATGAAAGGGACCCTTGCAGCCCCCCCAACCTCCTCTTACCCCAAACCAAGCACCACTGTGGTCCCAGCAGCTCACAGCTACCGATGCCAAGGGGACTGCATCCCACACAGGTGCCCTGTGGCTGCGTGGGAAACTTGTTTTTCAGAATAACAGCAAACATAGTGATGTTGATCTGGGTCTTCAAAGCATACAGAGCCTTTCCTGCAGCTCCTGCTATTATAAAAGAGAAATATTTACTGACCACCAAAACTTCAGCCTTACATCAGTGGATAAAAGCCTGACATGGTCTCGCAGCTCTCTGAAAATTGGGGCATCCCCATTGGCAGGAGGTCCCCAGGGCATCCCTCACTGGGTTATCCCCCATGGGGACATCCCCATCAGCAGGGGCTACCAGCCTCCTGGTTTCAGCTTTTGAACTTGCACTACCAGTAGCTTTAAACTGCCCTGGCTGTGGGGATAGGGCCAGATCCAGCAGCCTGAGGCCCTGCAAGCTCCCAGGGAGAAGTGCCACAGGCCATCCCACCCTCATCCGCCTGACCTGGTTGAACCAGCGAGGCTCAATCACCCAGGATGGTTTTGCAGGACTGAATCTTCCTAGCGCACAACCCCTTTTTTAAATAGTGCTGAAGAGAAAAGCTGATTCAGTTAAAGACTTCATTGCCTGCACCATATCCAGGGGAGAGAGATTTATTCTTTTCATTTGCGTGGCCATTAGCTTGACTCAGGATGCCCACGAACACCCTAACACAGTAGGAGCAAAGGTGCCAGTTTATCTGAGGATGGTTGCAATGGATCTTCATGTCCCTTACCCCACACAAGACCTGCTTGTCCATGCAGGACCAGGAGTGATAGGAGCAGCGTGAGCTCCAAGGCATGCTGCTGTCGAGGTCTTCTGCCATGGAGGAGACAGTGAGACCAGGATGCTCTTCAGATGCCATGTGCAGCATAACGGAATCACAAGCAGAGCATGGGGTGATACCACCATCTATCAGAGCTTCCCAGGGTATTTACCACCCACTTTTTCCAGCCAAGGGCTCTGGGGACGGGGGAGGCAGCGGGAGCATGTTGGCTGGGCTGGGAGGAGGCGGTGGCCATGTGCCTCCACTCCCGACAAGGCCTTGAGCTATTCCCTGAGCCTCACCACTTCTCAATTAAAACACCTGAAAAATGTGATAATGCTTCATTACCCACTTCCCAGAGCATTTTGAGGTGTTAATTAAGTAATGTTTATAGAATTTGTGGTTACCCCGAGATGCACCAGCAGATAAGTGGCTACTTTTAATCATCTCCCGAATCCTCATGAGGGCACACAGACCTGCCCGCGATCTGGCCAAAGCCCACCACGCTCCAGGGAGCATCACAGCATGGTCAGCAGGTCCAAATGCAAATGTGTCCCCCCCTAAGCAGGGAGCAGGACAAATATTTACTGCTAAACCTCAGCAAAGCATCAGGGAGCTGTTTGTTGAAGGAACTGGGGAGCAGGAGGACAAAGCCTCACTCCCAGCTGGGGAGAGTGCAAGAACAGACCCCTTAGCTGCTCATCCCATTACATAGAGCCCAAATTCCAGTTCCTGGAGGTATTCAGGTATTGCAGAGGACCAACTTCTTCTTTAGTGATCCTGCAACACCAGGGCAGCAAAGACTCTGTCCTGAAGGAAGAATGTCCCTGTGTCCCCTGGGCACTCACCAGCTAGGGGCTTTCAAGCAAAAATAAGGTAAGAGAAGAAAATCCCCATTGCTTTGGCGTTTGGTTGGAGAACCAGAAGCTGCCCCCAAAGGGCAGGGGTGGTGGGGGAGAAGCCGAGCTGCTGGTTTTGTGATAGCCCAGGCTGCACTGTATTATGGCAACACACTTTATAGGGTTGAAGTAAATAGATGTGCAGGTTGGGACTTGAGGCTGGAGCTTCATCTTGGAGGATTCACTCTTGTTCTCCTCTCCCTGCAATGGGGCACGTCTGCACACACATGAGCAGGGGCAGCATCTCCCTGGTGCTGCTGGTCCTGTTTAACTTGTCGAGGGGGCTGCGACCAGCACCGGTCCCCAGCAAACCCAAAGGGCCATCGAGACAGCTCGTAGCCCCACTGCAGCTGCGCGCTGCCCAGGTGGGATCCCCATCCTAAGTCAGCAGAGGTGACCCTGGGATGGGGTGTCTGCAGCAAGGGCTTGCTGCAAACCAGCCCCTGAGCTGGCAGAGCAGCACAGAGCAGCTGCCCTGCTTCGGGGAGGATTTTCGGGTTGTGTGAAGCAGAGGAAGGCACTTTATCCTCCTTCCCGGTGAGGCGAGAGCCAAAGCTGCTCGTCCTGTCTCACCTGTCGGGGGCAATTTTGCAATCTGCCAACCCCTATCCAACACCCACATGCAAAACCAGAGCGGTGGAGAGTGAGCGCTGGGCTCCATTTTAGGACAGCCTGTGCCATGTTAAGTCATACAAATAAATAAATGCCCAGCAAAAAAAAAACCAAAAACAAACAACAAACTTAGGCACATAGAAAACTCTCTCCAATCTGCCAAGTGCACAGTACATCAGCAAAACAGATCAGCTTCACGCTGGCCTGCAAAATACTCCTGGCACTGCAGATTTTCCATGAGTGATCAGGCAGCTTTTCTGGGTATAAATTCAATTTATAATGCTAAAATTAGACTAGGAACATAGTAGGGTAGCCAAGAAAAGAAAGTTTGGCTGGTGAAAGGAGCCCTGCCCGGCAATCGCCCAGCAAAAGGTATATTACATAAATCCAGCCTGAAGCTGAACAACTCCAGCACTGCTGATGGGGTAATATGGGTTGTAAATCCAGTGAGCTTCACTGATCCGACAGTGTCAGAACTTCAGAATTCTGCCATTTTTATTTTTAACATCTTAAGCTTATTTAGCTAATGAGCTGCTTTATTCTTCTGAAAGGAAACAGTACTGAGGGTGAGGATGTGCCATGGCTCAATGTAAGCGTGGCCAGCAGCACTGAGGATGGCAATAAGAGGTCAGAAACCCCCCAGGGATGAGGGAATAGGGGACAGCTGTGCTGTCAGAGCCCAATGTCTGAGTCTGTTCCTTCCCAGACCCCTGGCATGGGCTGGGAAATAACCTTCCTGCCTCTTTTCCTTTCCCCAGCCACAGTCAGGAGGATCCCACCCCGAGGAACAATGCCATTGGTACCCAGGCGATGCCAGAGGCTGCACCAGCCCCATGTGTGAGAGCCAACGTGCCGGGGACCCTGTGCCCCAACCCGGACCCTGTGTCCCACTCTGAGCTGAGCGTCAGGGGACACAGAGAGCAGGTGAGCAAAGCCACGGCCATCAGTGACTGCCCTGCCTAGGGGGCTTGGGCTTTCCAAACCCACTAGATTTAGGGGCTGGATGAGGAGTTTTGGTTGGAGTCTTGGGTCCCCAATACTAGGGCTCTGTTTGCAGAGGGCATTTGTCACTTTGAAATACGCCTGGCCCCACCAGCATGCCAAAGGGTGGCTCCTGGCCCGGCGTCCGGCAGCACCAGGTGTATATTACAGTGACAGCTCTGGAAAGGGCTCAGGGCTGTAAATGAAATCCCTGTCTCAGGGAGTGAGCTCCACACTGAGGGACTCTGTGGTCTGGTCTTTATCAATAAATCTCCCTCAATAAATCCTCTTGAGTGGAGTGGAGGAGCCAGGGGCTGCGGCTTCACGCCTTGGTCAGTCCGTGCAAAGCTGAACCCCTCGGAGAGCCTGGGCTGTCTGTGGGGTTGCTCTGCTGCAGCGAAAGGCCAGATCCTGGGTACGGATACATGGGAGTTGATGCTCGTGCAACATCCCTGTAACCATGTGTGTGCACAGATCAGACTCCCAAAGTCCTCGCCAGGTTTGTCGCAGAGCGGCAGTCCTGTCTGCAGGCAGGGATGGATGCTGGTGTCAAATCCCACCAAAAATGGCAATAGCTTTTCCGATCACTGATCCCCGCTGACCTGTGGGCTCTGAGGAAAAGGCAGTCAGGAGTGAGCCCCAACCCTGGTGACACCACAGCTGCAGCCGTGCATGGAAGGCAAAGCTGCTGCCCACACCCCAGCCTCAAATCCTGATCTGCTGGGCTCTACCCGCAGCGCTGAGTCACAGCAGCAGGGATCCGGATCCGGCGCTGAGCACCTGGGCTGCCCCGCGCCCTCCGCCTCCAGCCACATCCAAGCCCAACCCTGCATCCCTGAACCACGGCTGGCACGAGCCCCAGCCTAGATGTCACCTTGCCGGGGTGTCCCAGCTGGAGCCTTATGGCCCAAAATACCGGGTGCTCTTCAGCCCCCCAAGACACCAGCCTTGGGGAGGGGGCAGCGCCAAGGAGGGCAGGGGCTGATCCAGCACGAGCGAAAATCGTCAGAAGCCCACATGGCCGCCACCGGCTCTGCTCCCAGTTGCAATTCCTTCCCAGTTTACAGCACCGGGGAACGCAACATGAATTAGTGCCTGAGCACTTCAAAGCCTTCAGAGCCAGCAGTCGGGGTGTCAGCCCCATGACGGCAGCCGTGGGTCTCACAACCTCCCTTCAGCCCTGGGAAGGTGCTTTGCCCAGGGCAGAGCCGAATTTAGGACTCAGCAATCCCAGGAAGTCTTTACCGTTAACATCAGGGGGTTCTTTTTTTTTTTTTTTTTTCTTTCTTTTTTGGAGTAGAGCCAATTATTATTTCCCCTGGCTCGTTATTCAGCAGAGGTTGGTTCCCAATCCCATTTCACAGCAGCCAATCCTGAGCTGCACGAGCCGCAACAAGCCGTGCCATGCCTCGGGTGGCTTTTACTTGCTGGGAGAGATCACCCAGCCCTGAGAAAGGGTGGGTTCTGCCCAGGTAAGTGAGAGCGATGAATATTTTTTAAATCGTCTCCCCAGAGTGTGAGATCTCTGCTCCCTTTTGCACCAGATTTGCTCAAAAGGCAAAGGCGGTGGCTCTGGGATGGTTTGTGTTTAGGCAGCTTTTTGGCCCATCCAAGCATGCTAAGAGCACACAAGCTCGAGCTCGCTGCTTCTGCTCGCTGGCGCGTGCCTCATTTCTTTTGAAAATCAGACGCTTTAGGGGAAAGTTTCTTCTTCCAGCTCTGCGTGCCCACATCTTGCATATGCAGGCGATCCGGCACACCTCTGCTCTGCATGCAGATAAAGGCACAGGCGGGCTGCAGGCAGGGAGCCAGGCTGGGGGTGTGCTGGAGCCCAGCAGAATCCTTCCCCGTTCCACTGTGGGGCTGCAAAACCTGGGTCCCAGCCCAGCCTTTCACCTTGGAACAACGGAGGAGACGTTTTCTCCCTGGTCACCTCTGTGTGGTTGAAGGTTGAGTGCCCAGGTGCTTTGTCAGGAATGGGGTTACTGGCCACGACCCAGTAACCCAGCATGACTTTTAGGGTAGAAGCTCCCGTGTGGCGATGCTGAATGCCCTCACATGAATGTCCCTCTTCTCTCAGCATGGTTTTGGTGGTCCCAGAGGACACCCCAGGGTGTGCAGGGATTTTCTGACCTGCCCGTAGGGGTAGGGAGGTTGCACACCCCTCCTGCCCAAACCCTCAGGGAACCTCCACCATGCACTGTGGGGATACTCAGACACACGTCCCTCCCCCGTACCACCATGGTCCAGGAGGAACCTGGTCCCACAACCATTTTGGGGGATCTGAGACTCCCCGGGGCTTCGGCTGATGGAAAAGAAAGAATTTACCCAACATCAGCATCGCAGGGAGGAATAAGGTCACCCCTGCTGTAATGAGCTTTCTCATCTCCTAAGTTTCCACTTTCCATCCCTGCTAGTAATTTCAAAGTTCATGGGATTAGGGCAAAATTCTAAAAAATAGGGCAAAAGTTCTTAAAAATTCTTAAAATTAGGGCAATATTCTTAAAAAAGCAACCCCTCACTTTCAGGCTATTTGTTTACCTCCTGCCTTTCCCAGCTTACCGAGCTGGGGGTATCATGGGTTGCTCTCCACCTCTCCTGTTGTTTGGGGATCTTTTCAACCAAAAAAAAAAGAAAAAGCAAGGTTTCTTTTGAAAGTCGAGCACTTTATCTGTTCTTGGGGATTATTGAACACTACCGCCAGCACTAAGTGATGGCACTCAGCATGCTGGAGCATTAATAACCCCATAATATCAATGGGGAAACTGAGGCAGGGGCCGGTGGAGCAGAGACCTGAGCCTGGGACAAGACCTGGGATGCTGTTCCCAGTACACGGGGACTGAGGGCAGCCTGTGCACCCCGGGGTGCCCCCAGCTCATGTCCAACCCCCCCAGCACTGCACCCACACCAGCTCGCCACCCACCAAGCTTCCTGCAGGGCTCGGCTCTGTGCATCACCTCTCCAGGTTTCTCTGTAAAACAGGGTAAATAACACCCAGTTTGGTGTCTCCCAAGGATTCAGAGAGGCTGCAGCCAGCAAGGCCACGTGGGGTGGCTGAGCAATATGTGTTGCCTCTGTAGAAGCTGTGCGTGGTGCCAAAGGGAGGAGAGATGCATAGGAGCATCTCGGGAGGCAGTGGGAGACGGGTCCATCAGGCTCAAGCACCAAAGCTGCAGTGAGTTTTCCCATCATCAGCCCCCAGCAAAGTAGTCCTGACATGAGCCCTGCAGTTCCTTCCTCAAGGAGATGCCTTGCCCTGCTTTATCCCAGAGAAATGTGATTTAAACAGTTCAAAAAGTAGAGGAAAAGCCTGATTTTTCTACCTGGGCTTTTGTTTGTCTTCCATTTTGCCCGTGCCTCCAGCCTGGGGCTGAGACACTGCGGACAGTCTCAAAATGCATCCCCAGATGAGCCTGCTGCTTTATGTGTGTGCATGGTTTAGCAAATGACTTCACTTTTCCAGATCTGGGCTTTGCCCTGTTTCTATGACTTTGCTAAACATCACATACACAAGATATTTCTCTTTTATTGGCCTTTTAGGCTGAAACCTGAATAATTTGAGACAAACGTACATCCTCACCCGGCGTGCAGCACAGCCCTGAACATGACCACAGAGAGTTTTGCAGAGTTCCTGAATAAGCTCAAGGAAATCCATGAGAAAGAGGTCCAAGGTAAGGAGACACAAGAAGTCGTATTCAAAATTGGCCAAGGCCCATTTCTTTGTAATGCCACCTTGGTCTGTTTGTTTTCAAATAACCTGAAGGAAGAAGGAGCGGGTATGGATCAGGGAGCTTTGGGAAGTAGGGCTCAGCAAGTATCACTCATGGGGATGGATGGGGATGCAGGGTCACAGCCTGGCCCTCAGGGGAAAACACCCTCCGATACCCCCGTGGTATCTCTCACCAGTGAAGAAGTAGGTTTGCTGAGAAAATCGGTAACTTTGGATGATGAGAAGGAGCAGAAGAGAGAGGGTATTCCTGCATCCAGTGTTCCTAGAGGGCAAGCCACAGAGGTGCTTAGTCCCTGCAGGAATCCCACTTGCTCCAAGCATTAATCACAAGGGATTTGACTCCTTTCCTGCTGCCGTGGTCTGCGATAAAGGTGAATTGGGAGGTTTGCACAAGTGACTTGCACACCTGCCGGGCATTTTCTCCGAGCAACATGGATTGGGGTGTATTTGGATACTGAGGCATCAAAGGCAAAGTGGAAAGATGCAATAATCCATCGGAGAGAAGCAGCAGGAGGATGGGGCTCTGTTAAAGAAAACCTTAGAGTCAGGCTGGGTAGTTTATTTCTCTAGGGAATACATTATTCCTCAGGTCATATGTTATTAAAATAAGAGCCACTAGGTTAAGCAACCAAATGCCAAATCCAATTGTTTTCTTATTAGAATAATTCCCAGTATCAATATTATGAACAAAACAACATCGCTTTTGGAGGATTCTGGCTTATGAATTCATTCTTCTCTTGTGTAATTTCAAGCCATGTGAGAGTTAGAGGAAACTGTTGAGCAATTTAAACCACATGTTTACATCTACTTTGCATAAAATGGATTTGACAGGATGTAACGTCTGCAGATCCATCAACGAAAGCTGTTCTTGTTCAGCTGTAAATAGCCTCCAAGATGCTCTGCAGCCCTAAGAGTTATAAAATACTGCCCTCCTGGGAAACGCATTCTGTAACAAGAAATAAGTAGAAACAAAACTGAAACAGACTTTTTGGGGGTGGGAGGGAAACGCAGACTCATTAAATAGCGGAAGTACAAAATGTGCTCACATTTTGTACAACTTTTCCAGCTATATTAAACTGCGGTATTAACACAGGCAATGAGTTATTCCTTCTCGGAAATAAGGTTTGTAAATTGATGAGGTTTCTGCAAAGCCGGACACCCTCCTGAAATTCCGTCATCATCGCATTTTTTTTCTGAGTGCCGGGGAATTGGCAATAAATACCCACCTCTCCGTCTCTGTTAATTATTCCAGGCCTGCAAAGCAAGCTGACGGAGCTGACGACGGAGAAGTGCCGGTAAGCCATGCCACGTCTGCTCGACCAACGCTGTGGCAGGGTGGGGGGCGGAGGGGAGGTTACACCTCTTCCTTTTCAGACCTCCCAGGCACTCCTCCGAGGCTGCCTGATTTAGACAGCACAGTTTGCCTGTCTGGCTCTGCCAGGTTCAAACCTTTTGGTGACTTTTGCCATGCAAGTCCCCAGCACAGGCTGGGCTTGAGGTGACCCCAGCCTACCTCTTGTTTGCCTTCCCACTGGCCAGTGATGCTCGTGCCAGTGGACAACTGATCGCTTGGGAAGCAATGAAGTGGGGTGAAGCAAGCTGCTAACTCCAAGGATGGGTGTCACAGGGCAGCGTCTGGGCTCTAACACATTTATTTCCCCTCCTGCCACACAGGCAAAAGCAATTCAGCCACACTAGTGTGAGCAGCACGGCAGGCTCAGGGCAGAAATCCTTCCCCTTGACAGGGCTCTGCAGAAAAAGGCACAGATTTGGGGGAGAAATTTAAAAACTTTCTTTAATTTGTTCTGTTCCTTCAATTAGTGATGCTCAGAGAATTGAAGAGTTGTTCGCTAAAAATCACCAATTAAGGGAACAACAGAAGGCCCTTAAAGAAAATGTAAAGGTGTTAGAAAACAGGTAAGACTTATTTTCCAGTAGGGTGCTGTTCAGTGGCAGCGGGTGCACCCTCCTAGGGGCAGAGTTTGGGGTTTGCTGTATTCCCAGAGGTGGGATGTAGCCCATGAACGTCTTTTTTTTTGCTCATACGTGGCTGCTGGGAGAGCTGGGGGGAACCCAGGCACATGCAGAGGAGCTTTCCTAAGCTGCTGGGGGTAGAACTGGATCTAAGGGGGGTGGAAGGGCCAGGGCTGGGCTGTATGGGTGATAACCCCTCTCACCAATTCTGGGTGATGGACTGGGTGCTCATACTTTTCCGTGGAGAGGGCAGGACCTTATTTCCCCCATGGGAACCGTGTGGTAATAAGCTGCCGGCCGCGGGTTTTCCTCCAGGCTGAGGGCCGGTCTCTGCGACAGATGCATGGTCACCCAGGAGCTGGCGAAAAAGAAGCAGAATGAGTATGAGAGCTCTCATTTCCAGAGCCTGAAGCACATCTTCATCCTCAGTATGTACCACCCCCTGCTGTAAGCTCAGCTTTGGCTGGCTGAGTCTTTGCTCAGTCAGTGCCTCTCCCAGATACTTGCACATGAGTCTCCCAGTGATGGGGAACCCAGGAGGGGTTTGAGAATGGAGAGAAAAGAGGGAGCCAATGTGAGTGTGGGGGTCTTTAAAAATCATATCTGACCAGGACTGGCAGCCCGTGTCCCCCCCAGGGAGAGGTAACCACTCACACGAAGTGGCAGAGCTGGGGAATGAGTGATGCTCACGTCGAGAGCAGCCCCAAGCTGGCCAGGCCATGTCAGCTGCCTGGAAAAAAAAAGCATTTGGCACTGTAGAAGTAACACTCTGGCAAAGACAGGAAAGTCACAGCAGCAGCTCAGCATGGGTAAATGGAAATCAAGCAACACGTGTGATAGATCTTCTCCCGAGCCTTTGGCAGAGCTCCCAGCACCACTCAGGCTCAGGGTGTTTTTCCCTGGGGATCTGGCTGGCCCAGGGAGGGTCATGGGGGTGAAGGAGATAAGGCATTCAGGAGGGATGGAGAGGTGCCAGCAGCCCTTAGTTTATCTCCCCTGCTATGCCATTCCTGCCCCAGTGCTGCTTTCGAGCAGCAGCAAGCCAGAACAGCAGCCCACCCTGCCCAGGAGCCTGCCTGCCCTCGCTTGCTGCCTCCTCGCTGGGGCACCTGGCTGCTGGGTGCTCACAGCTCCCGCTGGCCTTCGTCCGATCCTCCCCAAGGCCTCCAGCCCTCTCCCTAACACAGCACCCACTCCTCGGAGGCGGCCGTGGTGCTCATGGGCTGGCTGTGTCCGTCCCGCCGTGCCACAGCCACCACCCCATCTGGGTCACGCTCTTCCCCCACGTTGGATGGGCTGCAAGCAGACCCCAATCCTGACCAAACCCGACTTGGAAAGTTGCTCCCTTTTACCCCTCAGCCCCCAGTGTGTTTTCGGAGAAGGAAGGAAATTCAACACACACACACCCCCAAAAGCTTTTGTGCCATTCCCTCCTCCTCCCCTGTGCTCCCCAGAAAGCTCTGAGCAGCATGAGCTCTCTCCTTGCAACACCTGAATCCACAGCACAATTTGTGTCCATGCAGCTAACGAGACAAACCGCTTGAGGGAAGAGAACAAAACTCTCAAGGAAGAACTGAAGACACTCCGGAGCCTGGAGTAAGTGTTTTCCTGGGTTTCATTTATTATGAAGGGTGTTGGCAAGGACAGAGGCAATTTCATAGCTGAGCAGGGCAGGCTACATCAAGTCCAGGTCATCCTCAGGAGTATTTTAGCATCTAATTCCCAGGGATTCCTGTAGATGTTAGACACCAAAACACCCATAATGGTCTCTAAGTCCTTGTTGACCTTTGCTCACTTCCCTGTTCACCTGCATCCAAGGATTCGGTTTTGGGAGAACAACGGTATTCAACACCCCACCGTGGGAGACTGCTTATGGGAAGCAGAGCCCTGGGCTTCTTGCCTTGGCCACAGACCTCAACCTGGGCTTCCATGGCTTTTCCATGGCACCGACTGCCCTCCTGCAACAGCCAGGGAGGGTCTGCAGGAAGCAGGTTGTGTTTTGGGGAAGGAGAGTGACACACAAGGGAGTGAGACAGAGTTAAGAGGGAGAAGTGATCTGCACCAACAGGTTCATATCCCAGCAGAGCGCTGTGCTGAAGCCAAGTAACCTGCCAGGCTGGCCAATATATACAAATCAGTTCATTCCTCAAGGGTTTAAAGTCCAGAGGAATTAGCACTGAGGGATTAGTTTAGAAATGTGTTTTCTTTGGAGCACAGAAACACCATATGCTTGAAGAGAAACTTGTTTTTACTCCCCAGTGCTTCCCAAGGCCTGAGGAGTTTCAGAGCTGTAGGTCGAGTTGGGTTTGCCGAGCTGAGTGCTTGTGCTCTGCTCTGCTCTTCCTTGGGCTGTTCGATAGGAAGATTTTGGGCCGTACACTCATGTCTCAGCATCAGGGTCCAGTCAGGACTTTGTCCATGGTGTAAGAGTGGATCTCCGAGACTCCGTGACTCCCTCATTGTGACCAAGAGCATCAGCCCCACCAGGTCGCAATGGTCAAGGGGAACAGCTGCCATGTCCCCATGCTGAATCCACCCCTACGTCAGGCTGAGAGACCAGCCAGGGACCTACAGGTTCTCACAGAGCTTTTGCAATAGCCACAGTTGGGTTTTGGCTTATCTAGCATCGTGGCTTCCTGCGATGTTACCCACAACCAAGTGGGGAAATCAGACCTTGAGCTGTCGTGCTGGCTCTGTCCCATGCTCCAGACTGCAGCTGAGCTAGAGATAAGCTGCAATGGAAGGAAGTGAGTCTGAGGATCCAGTATATCCACATACATATATACATATATATATATATAAATATGTATATTTATATATCAGGCTCTATAACTCGGTGCTCCCAGTACTGTGGCCCTCAAACCTTCTTTCTCCTGCCCACACTCATTCATTTGTGTCCTTCTCCTTTCAACAGAGACAGGACAAAGCACGCAGGAGTCACCTCCAGAGAAAGCAGCTCCACCCCCAGCTCCCCCTTGCCCTTACTGTCCCCAGCGAGCAGGAATGCTGGTACTGAGAAAGCAGCTCACAGGGGAGCAGAAGAAGCCCACCACGATGTGTCAGGCCTTGAGCTGGAAGAAGGTGGGTGCTGCTGGCTCCCACCATCTTGAAGACCTGGGGATGGGGAGAGTGACTGAGCCACAGTGCAAAGCTCCTCTGGGAAAGGGTCTGGAGTGCAGAGACCAAGCTGTTGGCAGCTCAGATGGACATTGCCATGGGCAGAATAGCTGCTGGGGTGGGAAATGCATGTCAGGGGAGAAACACACTGCTCCGCATTAGAGCAAGAGTGCTTGGGTGCCCTTACTGTAAGACCAGTGCCTTGCAAGTGTGGACCCGCCACCAATTTCATGCAGCGACCATGTCGTTGCCTTGCTGCCACCCACACGTGCGATCAAGGGTACGTTCAGTCAGGTGCTGGCTTGAGCCAGACAGAAATTTTGACTCAAAATCTTCGATAGAAGGTTGTTGGTGCCAGCCAGTGGCATCCTCGGGAGGTTGTGAGACTCCAGCATGCTGCAGGGTAGGGCAGCCTGCAACAGCTCTGCGGGACCACCACAGTGGCTGGTTGTGTCTTTTTTTGCAGAAAAGCCTGCAGGACAGAAAAGTTCTCCAAGCAGCAGGACTTCCCCAGGCACTGTTCTCCAAGAAGTCAGCCTCGCAGAAATGGTGAGTTGCCAGAGGCAGCCTCATGCCCTCAGGCCTTCTCCCCACCACTGTGGTTATCTGAACTGGATCGAGAGAGTTAGGCTGGGATAGGGAAAAGCAATTAGGGTGAAACAATTAGCCATACTCAGGGAGTTTGCAGTTGCCAGAGCCAAGAAGGGCACCAACTAAATGCCAGATGCATCCTGTCTGCAGAAACTGCCACTCACTGCAAGCAAAGCATTTGGAGTCTGGCACAGGGTCCTGTCCCTGCTGCGAGCGTGCATGCCTTTGTTTTCTCCTGTGTTTATCCTCCATGACAACATGTCTAGCATCCTTGAGTCCTCTGCCCGTTGCTCTGGTTCCTCTCTCAGATGTCTTGCTGGGGAAAGCTCTGAGGAGTGAAGGAGCTGGGGAGACTGTGCTGAGCCACGTTTCACTGCAGCTTATCCTGAGCTATAGAGTCAGCTCTCCATTATCTGGGTGAGCAAGACATTGTGTGTTGGAAAACCCTGAAGAACATGTAAACTGTGGGAGTTGTGGGTACTGAGAACAAATACACCACAGCAGCCCTGCCCAAGAGCATCGCAGATGTGTCTCCATCTGCAGCATAATGAATATTGGTATTTTCAGAGGGCCTGGCATTCAGTGGTTGCCATTTTGTGCATTGATGCAAGCCTGCCGTGCCTTTAAAACACAGAGAGTATGTGTCAGCTGAGGGATGCTGAGTGATATGGTGATACCGGGCACTGGGAGATGAGACTGCAGGACCTGAAGCCCTGTTCCTGGTCGTGGGAACTCAAGCCCATATACACACCCACATAGATGCTTCTGTTTTGGCACTGGCTTCGCTTACCTGAACTCACAGAAAACATGAAAGAGCAGGTGAAAAGGGGTTTTGGTAAGGCTGCAGGCAGGCTGTGAGGATAATTAATAGGGATCGCAGGAAGGGTTGGTGACATCTCCAGGTGGGCAGGGGAAAGTCAAGTCAGAACATGTGGTGAGGCTTTTATGACAGCAGATAGAAATGATGATGTCCTGGCCTCACAGACAGGTACTCCACTGGAAATACACCCACCAAATCAGTGCGTGCCAGGAGCTTGCATCAATAAAGTCTAGTGGCCTGACTAGGGGTCAAGGAATTTGCAGGGTCTTATCTTGGTTAAGCCACTGAATCATGGCTTGACTTGAGAGGAGGCACAAGACCTGCTGGGTTACAAATCAGTGCAGCCAGAAAATAAAGAGTACTGTATATCTTGCTAGAAAAAATGAAGGGGAAATTTCCTGGGAAAACCAACAAAAATATGGCTGAGTCGTTGACCAGAATCATACCAAACAGACCACTTAAGAGCTGTCTGTCTTGTTCATGCTGGTGGAGAGCTGCGTCTCTGCTTGGCAGGGCTCCCCTTAGCCAACGCGCTGCCCGGGATGCACAGCACAACAGCTCACCTGGACTTTCTCCCCTCTGCCACAGGCATCCCAGAGGGTCGCCAACCAGCTGCATGGAACCATCGCTCTGGTGAGACCTGGCTCCAGACCCTGCTTCCTGGAAAAAAGTCCCTTAGGGGCATCAGTGTCCCCACCAGCAAGGAAGACTCCTCTCCTGCCGGAGCACGAGCACAGCCCCAGCCTTGAGGCGTGAGTTACCTGCTCGTGGGTCGTGGTGTGGGCCTGACTCATGGCCTTGCAGCTGTCCCACTGGGGAGACTGTCATCAGATGGCCGATATTCACTACATCTGCCCACTTTCTTCTCCACACTTCTCCCACAGCCTCGGGGAGGGGGGTCTCCCTGTTTACAGCAGCAAAAAAATGACTGGAATCCCGCCTGACGAGGTCAGCCTGGTTACTCCAGCTTCCTCAGACAGACCCATAAAGAAAAGCGCGTGCCCCCATCTCCAGCCAGGAGGAGAAGGACTTGCCTCATGGAAGGCGGCAATCCCTGCTCCTCCTTATCTTTTCTACTGGGCTTTTCTGCAGGGCTCAGCATTTCCCTGGGCTTATCCTCCCCATTGATTTCAGAAGCGCAGAGGGCTGAGCGAAGCCAGTGAGTTCACCTGTAGAGACAGCGAGTTTCCCAGTGTGGGAGTAGATCTGCCAAGCATTCCCAGGAAAAGCTCGCAGTCACAGAAGTTGCCAAATAACCAGTGATGGCAGAGACTTGGTTTGCAGGGGAGGTTCATGCACCATACTGACCTTCTTAGCATGGCTGTAAAAATCTCCCAGTGAGTGAGATCAGGGAGGATGGGCTGTTCCCCTATCCTGGAGGTCTTCAGGCCCACCAAGGCACTAAGAAAGACCAATGCCGGGTATTTAGGATGCTTCTGGCTATAAGGCATGGTTTGACAAGTGTCTTCTCAGCAGCAGTGCTGACATGAGCAGTCACTGCGTTCCCCTACTTGTCCAACCCCTTGTCTGGAGCTGCCGTGGCCCAGGGACAGAAGAGAGCTCTTGGGTGGTGGCTGGTGGTGGTTTCCTGCGGTGTGTGCAGTGCAGAGACCCACTGCCGGCTGCCTGGTTCCTGCAGCCACCGGGACCCTCCTCCCCAACACAGCACCTGAAGGTGACTGTGATGCATGGTCCAAGAGCTGCAACAGGGCACAGAAAGAGCAGGAGAGACCCCACACATCACCTGCGGGAGCTGGGAAATCACATGAAAATTCTCTAATTGTAATTATTTTTTTCCTGCTTCTTTTAGTTATTTAACAGCAAGCAAACCAGACTCCCCCAAGGTTGGTCCATCCTATGAAAACCTAAAACTGACCGCCCGGAGAGAGCAGCTCTGCCTCCTCCACAAGCACCTTTCCCTGCACCAGTTGGGACTCGCGAGCAACTGTGCTTCGGCTGACCGGGACGGCAGCAGCTTCTCCAGCCATTTACTCAAGGCTAAAGATGCCGATGACAGGACACGGTCACGTGATGGCTGGGAAGATCGTGCAACCTTGCTGAAGCTCCCCACCGCCATGGTGTACGTGAGGGATCAGCAGCTGGAGGAGAAGCTGCACCTCCTCAAGCACAGAGAACGACTGCAGCATTTCCTCATGCAGCGGTGCCAGACAGGCCAGCGGGCAGACGGAGACCCAAAGCCTGAGGAGCGGCCCCTCTCCCCATGGCCAAACATCATGGCAGGGTGCAAGGAGGAAAGGTCCTTCCTGGAGGATGCTGCAGACGGGAAGGAAGAGAAGGAGCTTTGGCTGATCAGGGACAGCTCTGAGCTCCAAGAAAAGATGAAGGTGACAAGGGACGATGGTGCAGACGCACCGCTGGATCTGTCAGACTCTGGCCGTGGCAGGGAAACAGGCTGGCACAGCCACCGGGAGCCGTGGGGGGCCAGCAGCCCACAGCCAAGCCCCGGGGAGAGCCCCGCTGTGTCAGCAGCCCACGGCCCCAGCAAGAGACACGAGGCAGAGCGGGACAGCTTGCGCTTCCCCTACCGCTGGCCCAATGCCACCCGGGCACTGTCTGGTGCTGTTGAGGAGGAGGAGGAGGAGGAGGAGGATGCAGCTGTGGTGAGTACAGTTCATGTTGGCATCAACTGTGGCCCCTTCCCCTCCCCAAGGTGCCCAGCACTGGATGCTGGCACCATTATGACCACCATTAATAACCAGTGGGAGAATGGCTTTGCTGCCTGTGAAGCCAACAGGGACACATTTAGACATGGCAAAGCCACAGCCACTCATCCCTGGCTCTTGTTCCCCATCTCCCTTCCCTTCCAGCACCCGTGGGGTTTCCATCCAGGTCCAAGGACCAGTGTGCAGCAGCACCTGTATCCCATCCCACAGGTTGGAGCAGGAGGGGTGCTGGGTTCCCCTGCAACACCCCCACCAGTGCATAGAACTGCCTCTGCGATGTTCATCCCCACGGGTGTCACGGTCATCATGTAGGGGCTGGGGACAGCCCTTTCCTCTTGCCTGGCAAAGGCAGCATTTGTGCTCCCTGTATCCTACAGCTCGCGCTCTCACGGGCACATCCAACAAACAACTCCACGCCGAGAGACCCAGAGGCCCTTCCAGAGACTGGGGTGAGACTGGATGCCAGTGCACAGAAGGGAGAAGCAGGTAAAAAGCCCCAGGCAAACATGACACTTGAGAAGGCAAGAGCAAAAGGCACATTTTGGTGATGGTATCTTACAGCAGGAGCTCTCTGTGCTGGGCTCTGCACGCACCTACAATCCCGCTGACCAAAGCAGCAGCTAACCAGCATGGGATGCCCTTCCAGGGACCCAGGTGCTTTTGGCTCCCAGCTCTTTTGGGCCATCATGGGAACTTCGTGTTTCACATTTGCATCCTCGATTTTCAACCCTAGGGATGCCCAAAATTTAGGCTCAGTATCTACAAGAAGAGCCCAGTATCTCTGCCCAGCATAGACCATGGTCCACCCGTGGGGTGCCCTATGACACCCTGCAGAGCACCCTGCACTCAGCTGCTGGGTGGCACAGAGTTCTCCAGGAGCTAAAGAGGTCAGTTAGCACCGACCCATTGGCAAAACCCACCCCACAATGAGCCAGGACAAGACAATGTTGCTGCTCCAGCATTACCCACCCCTCTCAGGGAAGTAGAAGCTCAAAAGTCACCCCAGCAGAGGTGGGGAAAATCTAGATTTGCAGGACTAACACTGGAAAAACTATCCCTGCCTGTGCCTCCTTGCTCCAAAGCGTGCCCTGTGCTGGCACAGCACGTAGGGTTGAGCATGGAGCGAGGGATGCTGGTACCTGTAACAGGTAGGACAGGATGCTCTCCTCCCTTTCCCTTCTCCATCCTCTGTAAGAGTCCTTTCCATTCCCAAAACCTGCCATGACCTTTATCTGGGGACATGTGGTGCTTTCTCCCTGCCTGGCCGCCATGGGACGTGAGTGCCAGGTTTGCCCGGGCGGGTGGGAGGCAGCAGCCATGGGGAGCGGAGCAGGGAGCACGTCTGCTGAGAGCTCCTCGTTACCGGCCTTACTGGCTCGGCCAGAAAGTTGAGCTCACCTGGATTAGTTGGTCTGGGCGTGTCAGAGCGGTTTGGGAACACTCTCTGGAGCAGGATTTGGCATGGTGTAAAAAAAAAAAAAAAAGGAGTCCTCTGTGATTTATATGCTAAGGAGATATCATCACAGCAGAAGAATTTCAGCTGATTACATTCTGGGTGTGGGAATACAGGACTTTCTTCAGTTCTCACCTTAAGGTTGACACAAAGCCCAGGAAACAATACACAAATACTTCTGCACTTTCTAGTGAACTTTAACCCGTGGAAGAATAAAGTGAGGATGGGATCAGACTACAGGGGCTCCAGGAGCGCCTGAAAGCAGCACTATCTGCTCTCTCACCTGAACAGGGGCAGCTGGTGAGGCTGCTCTGCCAACAATCCTACCCCAGCTAGACCACCTGGGTGTCAGGAACAAGAAATACCGAGCTCCTGGAATGCCCCTGCCCCTCGGAAGAGGGCACAGCTCCAACCCCAGCCCTTTCTGCCCCTCCACGGCCAGCACGGGTGTGCTGCTGTGGGTGCAGACAGGGTGATGCCACCGCCAGCAAGGCTGGGTCCCTGGCGCGGGCAGCTTTGCTCTGTGCAAAGGTCGGGTGCGTGTCTGGTGCGTGCAAGTACGTGTCTGGGGTTGTGTAGCCTCTGGGCCTGTAGGCAGCAAAAGCCTTTTGCAGGGCAGGGAAGCAGCTCCCCCACCTTTCCTTCCTCTGCTCCTCAGCACATGTTCCCTGCCCAGAGCCACCAACCAGCACAGGCTGCAAACGTGAGGATTGTCCATTTTGGCCTCTTTACCCGGAGATGTGTCTCCCCACGTGGGTCTCAAAGGGTTTTAAATACCCCTCAGCTTCCCAACCCATGGCCACAGACTTTGGGCCAGCACTTGTGACCTTGGGGTAGCAAAGTCCTATAGATACAGCTTTATTGGGAGCTAGTTCCCTAAGAGAGTCCTGTTGCATCTCCCATAAACACTCATTCCAAGCCACATAGCTCAGAGTGCCTCTGCTCTGCAACACAGTTTATTGCTGAATCTGTTTTCTGCCTTGATGGCCCTCAGAGCCTGGGCTGGTGACTCTACATCTGCTCATGAGATTGTCGGGCCTCCCACCACCCAAAAAAACCTTCATTTTTTGTTTCCGTAGATGATGATGATGATGACACAGAGTCTGGGAAGCAGGAATCTGATGAGCCAGACACAACGGACAGCGAGGTGTGTTTGCTCCCTTCAGCCATTAGCTTTGGCTGTTGGGTCCAAGAGGTGTAAGACGGGTTGTCCCTGCCTGAGCTCACTCCAGGAGGTGATGGCTCTTTCTCCATGAGGCGCCAAACCCCATTCGCATACTTTTACCCAGCTTGTTGCTGAGGGATAGAGATATCCACTCTTTCCAGCTAGTCAAGACAAATGCATTTGTCACCACTCCGTAGCAATGGTCACAAAGATCCCCAGTAATGCCGTCAGGCCATCAGCTTCCTGGGAAAGTGGGGTGGTTTGTAGACTGACTGCTCTTCTTGTTGCTGTAGGTGGCTGCCTCATATGAAGATGATATACTACAAGAAGCTCAGGCTGAAGGGAAGTATTTTTGCACCAAAGACAAAGCTCATGCATTGCAGAAGAAGAGAAAAAGAGGACAGGATCCCTGGACGAAAGGTAGGAAGGACGGATTCCTTGTGACATCAGCTCAGGGCTACAGCTTCCACTGCTTCCCCAGGGGCTCCCGTGAGAAATACCCGAGGGCACCAGCCGCCTTCCCTGTGACGGAGAGGAGGGTGCTCCTCTGCCGAGTGCATGACACACTGCAAACAAATGTTTGCCCAAGGTGATATAGTGGAGTCTTTCGTTTCCCAGCGATAAGACACGCTGCACTGTGCTTTGGCAACGGTTGGATCTCCAGCCAGAGGAGCCCCTGCTAATGGTTAGCCAGGGGAGCCTGGGCAGGGTGGCTAGGAGAGCACTCCTGAGCACCTAAGCTAACAGGGCTAAATCCCACATGTTTGCTTAGCCAGTCAGGGAGGGGGTGATTGGAGAAGGCCAAATTCCCAGGGGTGAGTTATTGACATTCAGGGAAAGGTTTCTGCCAGCTCTGTTGATCTTCCAGTGCGGCTGAGGAGGTTTTCCCTGATGACAGAGGAATGTGTTGTACCCGTGTTTCCTACAGGTGAATAAGCAGAAAACTGCTCCTGATAAGAGCAAGGATAAGACAGTGGGTCTGTCAATCCTTAAAAAGTGCTCTGTCAGAAATACCCCGCTACTAACCCTCTTTGTACTCTTGGTAAAGACAAGGAAGTGTTGACTCAATTATAAATGTAAGGAGGGCAGTTGCTTAAGCATGAAGGGGTTTTTTTAATGGCAAGCACTGTCCCTTTGTGCCCAACCTTTTGAGGTGCCTGCTCGCTCAGGGGACATCACCGCAGCTGAGTGAGAAGAGGATTTGCTCTATAAAACCAGTCGCTTGGAGCCATGGTGTGGAAGCTGCTGTGTGGTCCCCGGAGCAGACACCATCCAACCCTCTGGGACTGGGTGGGGGTGTCCCAAGTGAGGGCTGGCTGCAGGCATGGGGTGATGGAGAGGTATAACCCCTTTCCCAGGATGTGGTGTGTGCCATGTACCACACTGAAAGTGGGAGAGATCCAGGAAATGCATCCCGCTGTCTGGGCAGCCTCAGGTACACTCCAGCACCAGGTCGGTTCTCTGCCTATTTCTGCTTCACGTATTTCTGTTTCCAGAGACAAAACAGCCTCCCCCAGGTACCCGTGCATCTCACGTGTGAGAGGGGTTTCTCTGCATCTTTGCTGAGCTTTGCTTCCTCCTGTGCTGTCCCTATTTTGGGAGGAGGTCACGCTGACCTCGTACATGTAAACCCATTGCTCTGTGGTTAACTCTTGAGGTCATCTTGCTGTTTACAGGAGCTAAGAAGTCAATGAGAGGAAGAAAGAAAGTCAAAGTGGAGCAGGGCTCAGCAGGGATCATGAAGCAAACAGAGAACTGCTCTGCTTCCCACAACGATACCTCCGAGGAGAGCTAACAGCAGGGCAGAATGAGAAACAACACAGACGCTGCAGACCAACGGAGAGGGCTCGGAGACCTCAGCACCCAGCCACGCTGGGAGAGAAACTTCTCCTGCTGTGCTGGGCCAGGCAGTGGGGAACTCATAAGGACATATTGATAAGTAGAACATCCTGAAAATCCTCACTCAATGCCCTGGGAGAGGCAAGGAAGAGCCGTGCAGATGATACCTGGAGCAGCCAGGACACTGCTGGTGGAGCAGCGCACTCAGTGACCCCCAGCCCTGCACCGGAGCAGACCCTCAGACTGGTGCGAGGAAGAGGAGAGGCCCTCTTTGCAGCACTGCCCATCTTCTTCCGTAGGATTTCATTCAAGAACAGACTACCCAGACCCTGCTCCCCATGTATGATGTCCTGGTGGCTGGCCCAAGGGTGGTGACCAAGCAGGGCCCCATGAACAAACCTGCACTGATTAAATCCCTACCCAGGTTTCATACTGGATTGTGTTTGACTTGGAGAAAGCTGAAGGTTTTCTTTTCTAGTTAAGTGAGGAGAAAGCATGTGGCGGGCAGGTGGAACTTGTCCCTGGAGAGGGCAGGGGGAAGAGCATGGGTAGGGAGGGCTTGTGTTGCTCCCTCTCCCCAGGGTGTCCTGCATGCCTGGAGAAGGCAGGTGCGTGAGACCAGCTCAGCAGTGCACACTGACCTTGGCAGGATTGCTGGGAGCTTGTTTTCATGTGAACAAACTGTTCTTAAACCATTTTTTTCTGATGTGTTAAGCATGGGCAAGTATTCCTTCAGGATCAAGTATCCCTGCAGCCACAACACTGCACCAGGACCCAGGCTGGGTTGTTCCTAATGCACGTGGGGAGAACAGGGCCAAACGGAGGGAGACCAGAGGAGAAGTGCCAGAGATGGTACCTGCCCTGTCTGATGCACCACCATTTCCTTTGTCCACAGTTATTTCTATTTAAACGTGGCTTTGTTTGCCTGTTCACAAGAATGAAGGGCAAAGCACAGCAAGCCAAAAGCACAGCCTGCCAAAAGCATCCTTTCACAAGCAGGCAGAAAAAAAAAAAAAAAAAACAAAAAAAAAAACACCAAACCACCCCAAAAAGCCCCAGCTGCAGAGGAGCTGGGAGGGGAGCGGGGCTCAGCCTTGCCCGGTGCAGCTGCAGGGCTGGGGGTTGTCAGCCCTGCACCCAGCCAGGGAGGAGGATGGATTTTCAAGGGAAAGGTGAATCCAGGTGGCCAGGGAAGGACTAGGAAGGGTGTGGGGATGTCCAGGGAAGGCAGGGGGGCTCCCGTAGGGGTGGTTTCTGCCAGAATATTTCAGAGCAGCTCTATGTCCCAAGCTGAAAAATTATTTAGACAGCTCTCATCTGCCTCCTATCTCTGCAGTTTCTCAGGACTCGTTGCGCACCATGGGGTGTCTTCACTAGCAGCTGGCTGTGGAAGCTCAGCCTCCAAATGACCCTCGGCAGAATCACAGAATCATCTAGGTTGGCAAAGACCTTGCAGATCATCTAGTCCAACCCTAAGAGCAGCGGGGCAGGACGGGGTGTTACATCTCGTGCAGAGCACAAGCCACCGTGTCCAGGTGGGCTGTAGCCCTTTGCCAGAGATCATGTCCCTTGCTGATGGGCTTTTCCTCCTCCCATTCAATCGCATCTCTCAGCAGCTTCTGATTAACACCAGGCCAGACCCTGACAAACAGAGCGGGGGTTGACATGTTGGAGCCGCAGCAGGAATTTGTATCTCTCTTGCACTGCTGTGGCACTGCTCCCCCCCACCCCACCCCGCCCCGAAAAAAACACGCAGTAGAGGCTGTGCTCAGCTGGGAAAGCTCCTCTGGGCTCAAGCCTTTAGTCATGGTTTGTGCCAAGGAGCAAAGTCCCAGCTTGTGAGTTACCAACTGGCAGTGGATATTCTGGGAATCAACGTCCTGGAGGTCTGTGCTCAGAAATGCTTGAGCCATCCAGGTTATAAAGGGGTGATGGGTCTAACGGGCCGTGTCTGGGCGAAGCAGAGGGTGGGCAGCGCAGGAGGGAGCTCATGGCATGAGCACCCGATGAGCAGAGCCCAGCTCACACAGCACCTTGTCCTGGGGACCAGCTCAGCCCAGGTAACGTTGACCTATCACTTTGCATCTCAGTGCCGTGATGTGGACCCAGCACACAGGAGCTGCCCCAAGGAGGGGACGGGCAGGTGGGGGTGCAGGGTTGCAGGTCTGGTTTATCCCAACTCAAAGTGTTCATCAGATCCCAGCCCTGGGAAGCGGATCAGGGCCACAACTGACACCTTCCACCTTCCTCTTTCCCTCCCGGGGAAGCCAGCAGCACGTCTGTCCCTTGCTCAGACTGACTTGCAGGGGGCAGCAATACCCAGAGCAGCACGGAATGATCTTTGTGAACTGGATAAATCTGTCTTTTATAAATACCCAAAAAAAAAAAAAAAAAAAAAAAAAAAAAAGTAGTTGAACTGTAGTCCTGTAAAGAGGCCCCTCAGACTGCAGGGAGGCAGCCTGGGATCCGGAGAACTGAAGGAGGGAGGGAACTTTTATGTGACTATAAAATAATCTCCTCCCTATAACAATCCCTTGATAAGCAAAATGTGCAGAAGTCCTGCCAAAAATAATGAACTCAATTTCTTTTTTTTTCCACAGAGGGGTTTTGGGTTTTCTTTCCTCCCATTGCACAAGACCACCACAGAATTCACCTTCATTTATCAAACTTTTCTTTTCTTTTATGTTGTTTCTTGCCTTTTTCCAGCAGGCATTTTCAGCTGATGTCCCCTATCTCTGTGCAGGATGTGTTTGAGGGTCTGGCAGGGACATATATTTCATAGTTAAGGCAATCCCATAACTATAAAAACAAAAACCAGTTTTGTCAGCTCTCAGAAAAGTGCTCTTCCGAGCAAGTTGCTGAAGTGAAATAAACTTTATATGCTGCACTTGATCCAGCTCTGGAAAATCTGCTCCTACCCAGCCCCTGGCTTGCTGTTGCCCCCACACAAACCATGTTGCAGAAACATGGATAATTGCTAAGTCCATTAATTCCTGTAATTATACTTGTCAGTCTCCTGTTGAAGCCTTTCTTGACAGATGAATGTATGTATTGATTTGGCGATATGCAGGCAGCCTCAGACTTGAACTGTTCTGCAGTAAGGAAGAAATCTGAGACCTGCAAGAAACTCTGGGTCTTCGCAGAGGTTTTCCGTATGCAAGTTCAGCTGTGCTCGAGGTAACGCGTTTGCAGGAACACACTGAGCAGCATTCAGCCCCACGGGCTGATCCTGCCTTCCCTGAGAGCACAGAAGCCTTTTAATAACTTCACTGGAGTTTGGCTATAATGATTATAAGGGGCATCTGTGTAGCAGACCCAGCAATCTGTGCTTTTTGCAGAGTTAAACCATTCTTGTCGCCACGTTTCCGTTCAGCACAAGAAGGACGTTTTACACAATGATCTCCAAAAAGACACTGAAATTACCCTTAGAGCTCATGAGTTATGACCTGCAGAGCAGCAAAGAAGAGAAGCTGTCCCATGAACAGATCAGTCCTTCTGGGAGACTGGCGGCTCACGTTTGTTTTGTTTAGACAAATTATAGCTCTGATATCATCAGTGACACGATGTAGGTAGGATGTCTGGGTCGATGAACTGGTTTCCCAGAGGAACGGGTTCAGAGCACAGCTTGGGTTTGCTCAGGGTCAGGGGCTGGATTTGAAATTGCACACAAATTTGAAAGAGGAATGGTGTAAGCATTTCAGTTCACTTTTGGTTCTTCAAAATAACAACAACTGGTTGGTTCCTTTATTGCCCGTCATGCAAAACAATTGTAATAACAGACCATCGCAACTCTTTTGCTTCCTGACCCTCAAGCCTCTGTACACGCTGAATCATTCTCACAGCACAGATCCTGCTCTCAGCTTGCAGATCCCCCTCGGTCCTCCCTCCGCATCATCCTCCCACTAAACTCAGCAGTAAACTGACATTTTCAGCTACTCTCTAGACCTGATTTGTAAAATTCCATAAGGAATAAGTTTGTGCAAGTCTAGCCGTGAGTATAAATCTCCACCTCGGGAAAAAAAAAAAAAAAATTGCCACCGCACAAAGGTTCCTCTGTTGCATGTGTAATGGAGACGGTGCTCTGCAGGGCAGTAGAAAGTCCAACGAGCTCGAAGCAAAAGGGAACTGTGCTGGGGACGCAGCTGGCTGCAATGCAGGAACCAAAAGCACCAAAAAAAAGGAGAAATGCACATCAGATTCTTCCCCCTTACGATCTTCTGTGGTGGTATTGCCTCTATGGCAACAGATATTTTGAAGGTGACTCAATTCATGCCCTTTTCATGAGACTGAGCACCACCTTCTCTGTAGTGAAATGCTTTTAGCCGACATCCCATCAGTAAGTAATGCCCATTTATAGCACTGGCTTTGGAAACACAGCTTCACTCCTCAGTTCACCACAACTCATTCCAGGCATTACTGAAGTCTTGTTTAAGCCGTGTTTTGGGGATTTAACTGGACTGGGCATTTTGTGCAGGTCCTTCCCAAGGTCAGGTGCACCCTGCGTGTGTGATGAAGGCAGCAAGCACGCTGGCAGCCCTGTGTGCAGCTCTGTGGTGCAGAGCTGGGAGCTCGGAGGGGACAGGGACAACTTGGGCACCCAGAACAGAGCACAAGGGCAAGGCTTTAAACATTTCTGAAAGGAGGCTGTGAAGCTGTCGATCAGTTTAGCAAGTCCAACACGCAGTGATTGTTCTTGGAAGGGAGAGATTTGGGGAAGTCCTTTGCTCCTTTAACTTCAACAAAGTTTATTGCAGGAAATTCTGAGCCAAAGTGCATGTTCCTCCTGCATCCCTTGGGCATCACAGCTTTCTGCTCTGCCTTGAACATTGTCATCAACCCCTCCAGAGTTCCCCAGCTCCAGCAGGGCTTGTGCTGCACACCCTGCTCTTACCAAACTTGCTGCTAGGTGTGGTGATCTCCAGTGGGACCTCTCCAGAAAACACATTTTGCAAGATCCTCCCATGAAAATTATTGATCTATTAATAACAGCACGCAGTGCGGCGCCACATGGTTCAGGGGAGAGGGTTTGATACATTCATTCACAAATCCTGATGTAAACACCACGTACATTTTTCATGACTCGAGCACATGGCCCTCCTGAGTGCAGAGCTATATGATTAAATCAATCAGCTCTGTGTTTTTTAAATATTTCATGTCACGCAGGAGAGCCTGAGTCATTTTCCAAGGCACACCGTTATCAGCACAGAGGTCTGTTGGCAGTGTTTGCCTCCTGGGGCTGAGCATGTTGTTTTGCTGTAACTGGAAATCTGCAGTGGGAGCAGAAGATTGCGTCACCCGCCACGGGTGACCACTCAGGAATCCAGGGGACACACTCTGCTCCAGCAGTGGCCAAGAGAAAACAGAATTTGCAACTGGAACCAACTGGAGGCAGATTAAAGCCACTGCAGGTTGCACAGCTAATGTACTGGTAGGGCCAACAGCTTGAGTTAAACCTGGCTCACAGGTTTGGGATGCAGGAGGAGAATGATGGAGATGGATGTGCCAGCGGAGAGCAGGAGCAGTCCAACATGTGAATGAAGTTAGGAAGGGTTTCATAATTTCTTACATATATAACAACTCTAAGGAATGGTACCTCCGGGCATTTTCTGAGAGATACTAAATAGGAGGGGGAAGACGAGCTCAGGAAAATGTATATTCCCAAAAAATGTGGTGATTGGCCTTTAGATGGATGTGGTGAGCATGAAGCTTATCTCCAAAGAGTGCTGGTCCCCCTGAATGTGTTGATTTAAGGAGAGGATTTAAAAGGGGTGAACTGCGATAGAGCCTTGGATGGATCCTTGGATTAGAGCTTGTTCAGGAGAGAGGGGACAGTAAGCTCTGGATTCACATTGCACTTACACATCACCCTCCTAGGCTTCTAGAAACCACTCTGGTCCCCTGTGAGGCCTCTTGCATACCCAAAAATGTGTACAGAATTATCTGGTGCCTTATCTTAATACTAGCAGTTCCTCCAACTGGAAGGCTGTTCTTCTGGTTCCCAGCCTAAATATATTCATGACCTGTTTATCTTTCCTTGATTTTGGGCCATAATTTTGCAAAAAATGTAACACCCAGCCCACATATGTACTTTTAAATGCTGTTTCAAATCAGATGCTTAGACCAAATCCTGCAGTTCTTTGCACGTAGAAAAATCTTTGGTGGCTCTACGCGCCATATAATATTGGGAAAAGGTCTTGCAAGCTCGGCCTGTTCCTCACCAGCTCCTTCTTGCAGCTCAGACATGTATCCACACGGCCCAGGGCTTCCATTAAGGCAAAGCAAGAGCTCCGGGAGCAAAATGAGCATAAGTATGGGAGATTCAGAGTAATGCTTTTCCATTTGTGCAATAATGCTGTTGTAAATGCAAAGCTACCTGTCCTCCTGTTTGCTTGGGGGGCTTTCAGGAGTGAAGATTGGAGCATGCTTCAGGACTAGAATCAGCCCAGGACTAGAATCTGCTGTGCAGCAACAGCGTGATGAGTCCAGCCTTTCTCCAAAACACCACCCCTGCGTAGGAATTAGGAGCATTTCCAGTCAAAACAGAGCTCGGGCTCCGTTCCCCCCACCGTGGGGATTCCCTCATTACAGAAAACAGGGAGCAAAGGTTGCTCGGGGTTGTACCCAGTCGCTGACATTTGTGGGAATGATGCTGATGTGCCACCCATCTGTTTTAGCAGCAGATTCCTTGAAACACAGCAACGTGCCCGCCGTACTCGTGTACTGTGAGCTAGTTCGCTTGTCAGACGTAGATGAAAGCTCCCCAGCATTAACAGCAGCAACATTCAAACTGCTAAATTCAGCTTTGAAGTTAGCAACCCACTAAGCTACGGAGGCTGGCTCCTCTCTGCTTCGTCCTGCACTGACTCAGTGTCACAATTTACATCCTACAGCTGTTTTTACAAGGAAAGAATGAAAAACCTCACATTTCTTTTATAAAATCCAATCTTGCAATCTAGACAATTGTTTGCAGCAAGCCGAGTTAGGTTTCCATGCCCCTTTATCCCTGGGCTTATTTGATAAGCTTGCCAGCAGGAAGAATTTTAATTCCTTTTTATCCCAAATTATTTTTTTCCGCAGCTGTGATATGAGATGGTTCTGCCAAATAATTTAAGGCTCAGAATCTGACCTATATTGAATAGCATAAGATGCTGAGGAAGTTCTTGGGATTTTAAGGGGAGAGTTTATATTTTTAATGGAAGCCTACAAGAAAACATTGTCTTATGTTTCCTATCCTAATCCTACTATTGTTATCAAATGCTTTTAATATGATAAGACAAGTGTTGATGTCCCACTTGTAACAGCATACAAAAAATGAGACAGCCACATGAAAAGACAAAGAACCTGTATGTGTTTTATAGGACAGTTTCAAAATCTATCTTTTATTCAGCACCCATATTTCAGATCATATCATCAGACATCAGTTTGATTGCTGGTATAAGTGGAGAGCAATATTAAGAATTGTCATGCAGCTTCTTTAAAGATATTCGGCAAAAGCATTTACCATTCTGACAGCCCAGTGTTGTGAATACATTGATACTCGGTTAATTGTAAAGATCTCAGTAGTCCCTTGTTAATGGCAAATTTGGTCAGGTACATCCATGTCTATGGGCAAAAGATTCCACTTGGGAGCATGACCTGCTTCAGAGCATGTGAGGTGGGAAGTGCAGGAGTCTGCAAGGGCCGTTTGGGGTTCAGAGGAACACGGAGGCCACCAGCACCCTCACCCTGCTGTTCACAGCGCCAGAGGCTTCCTCACACCCAGCAAAGCTCCCAAACCTTCTCTGCCAGGCCCAGTGGCAGGGACATCATTGGTGCACATCAATGTCCTCCGAGGACCGCAGAAAAGGCAAAGCTTTCTTGCTTGGCAAGCTGTCAGAGCATCATCCTGGGATGTGGCAGACAGTTTAGCTAAGGGGTATGTTTATTCTGTGCAGTATAAACACACCAGTCCGGGAAGTGGCGTGCTGCGCAGAAATGCCTTGAGTAACTCTGTGGAGATAAATACTAAGTTTATGCTCTCCCAGATCTGGGTCTGCCTTGCCCATATACGGCCCACGATCAGCACTGCCTCGGCTTTGCTTCAGGGGCCAGGAGGCGTGGGAATTCACCCCTCCGCCGGGGTTTTGGGGGCTGCTGGTGAGTCTCAGCGCCGTGCAGGGGTACCCAGGCCACGCACGGGGATACGCACAGGGATCCACGTCCTCGGGGCCTGTGGGTTGGGGTCCACCCTAGCTCCACAAGCGAGGAGGCCAGGTCCCAGGCTGCTGAGCTGGAGCAAGAGGAGCAACCGCCCTCATCTGCTTTTCGTAGGAACGGTCTGATGGGCGCAACCGCCTGCGGATGGTTTTAGCAGCTGTGTCCTCCCGTCAGGAAGGCCACAAGACCTTGAGAATGGGAGATCAGTGGAGTCACTGAGGGGATTGGGTGGGGAGATGAGGGGTGGAGAAGTTTTAAGAAAGTCACACAAAGGGACACGGCGGGTGTTGGCGTGGGCACATGGTGGGTGGTTGGGTGGGGACGTGGTGGGTGGTTGGGTCGGGACATGGTGGGCTCGTGGCTGTGGC